AAATTTCTACGGACACGTGTGTGCGTGTGTGTGTGTGTGTGTGTGTGTGTGTGTGCGCGCGCGCGTGCGCGCTTTTGCTGTAAGCACTTTAACCTTAGTATGGACAGACAACAGGCAGAATATGGAAACTCTAGGAGTGGAGATGATAAAGCAATTCTCAGCAAGGAGGTTGAAACAGCAACCTTTAAAATAAGTAGTCAAAGGCAATGGTGCCCACAAAACTCCATCAACTAAATGAAAACATGGCTGCGTTAAAAGGCAACACCTTGTGCTCGAACCTTTTTAGGCTAATATAAAAAGAAAACCTGAAATGGGAAGTCACGTGCTGCTGGTAGGCATGGATTTAGTTACTGCACAATGAAGCGGGCACTCTGACGTGCGCTTCGGAGGAGGGGACTCTGACCTCCCGGTATTTTTCTGAACTCTCGCTCTCCAACAGAGATTCGAAAGCTTCTTCGTGGTTCTTGCTGGTTCTAAGAACTACGCTAGATCTGAGCAAAGAGAATGAAGCTGAAGTGGGGGCCGGGGGTGTGAGGGTGCCTGAAACCCAGTGCTGTCCCTGGAACGATGCGCTTTCTTTCCTCTCACTGCTGATCTGTTCTGCACCACTCAGCTGTTCTCTCCCGCACAGAAATAAAAGTCCAGTTTAAAAAGTCTGCTAGAACAAAGCTTCAGACACTGCCTGGAATTTCCTTCATTTTCAGCCATCTGGCTTTCATTGCTCACTTCATTCCCGTCCTTCACATACATTTACCAAATCTTTTCAACACACACTGGCCAGGCTATCAAATGTTTATAATTAATAACAGTCATACACTTGTTAGAGATATTGCTTTCTGATTTTCCTTGAGCTGTTCCCCTCACTGCTGTCATAAACCAGGGAGATAGTTATGTTAGTTAAGATTTAGTTGGCCCCAGTACTGAAAAAATATGTTGAAAACAAAATCTAAGCACATTCTTTTCCTTTTAAAATAGAAGTATTTCTCACCAAAATATAAAAGGAAAGAAGACAGTGATGCTTTTCTGAGTGATACTATGATCTAGTTGCAGAGATGAGTAAAGTCATAATCCAGAAAGATGCATTTCCTTGAAGAACTAAGAATGATAGCACAGGATTTGATCGTGTCTGTTAGCTCTTTAATTCTGAGGGCCCTATGGGTCCTCAAAGATCATCAGTGCATATTATGAAATGAAAATTCAAGTTGCCAAGCATCACATGCACGTTTGAATGTGTTTGCAGAAGCATGCGTACCAGCCATCTGCAGCAGTGACTTCCGGGGATGATGGGACTGGAGGGCAGAGCCTGCACCTTTCTGTTATCACTATTTCTTCTGTGCTGGAGGTTTAACGAGCGAGACCCTCCATGTGTTACTTATAGAATGAGAACACTTTTGGGGAATGCGAGGCTGCCTTCTTTGCTAGGGATGACCCTAAGCCTCCTTCCGGACATTTCTCCCCTGATGCGGTCTAACACACCGCTCAGGCAGTAGCAAAGGTGCATGAACGGATGGACCTCTCTTCCTTGTAATGATACTTTCTTTCATTGTTACCAGCTTTGAAGGAAAACTGTCATTGGCGGCTCACAAGCAAAAAACGGTCCTAACTTCTGACGGCGTTTTAGGCAAGGTTAGGGGCGGATTAACATCTCCCTCCCATACACTACTTTCCAGCCTCCCTTGCAATCGTACTGCTTCCCAGAATGCCCGCAGGTTAGTCCATCTCCATCTGCACTACAGCCCGCCCTTGCTCTCCTACTTCAGGGATACATTGCTGTATGCAGCTGATAATGCAAAAGGCTAGAGCCCTAAGGGGATTTATGTTTTAAGTTTGCATTTAAAGCCTTTGGCTTAAGGAAATGAATCCAAGAAGAGTGTGGACAGCATCAGCTGGAAGATGAAAGTGGAGACAAGGGGCATGGAGAAGAGAGAGAGCACAGGTTCTCTGAGTCATCACTGATATGCTCTCAACTGGGCCTCTCCTGTGTGCACATTTGTTAAATAAATGCTTCATAAGCACCTGCTTATGTTAGTTCCTAGATGCTAGGGATATTGAGAGGAGAATTAAAACATAAAGTTAAAAGTAAGAACTTTAAAATGTAGCCTCTTTAATGGACAATGCCCTAAGAATGTAAGCATTGTACACAGGCCCACACACATCTAAACACACATGTTGGAAAAAAGTAGAACAACTCCAGCCCGAGGACACACCCTTCCTGTTGTGAAGAACCAGGTGTAAGAAAGTAACTGCTCAAATCTGATGAAAGTCCAATATGTGCTTTGAAAATAAGCACAGCTTTGCACAGTGTGAGCCAGAAGAAGTCAGGCTGAATCTTAGTTTGCTCCCAAAGACAGGACTTACCCTGTGGGCCTCTGGCATACCCGCTGAGTGGACAACCCTGAGAACAAGCAAGCAGAAAAGGGGCTTCCCCACTGTGCTTGGCAGGACTGAGAATCTCAACCAGGGCTGCCTCTGAGAGACAAAAGCCAAGATAGCAACATTTCTATATGTCCCGCAGAAAACAGTATGTGTCTGCTCTTTTTAAAATACACACAGACAAGCCAGGCGTGGTGGTGCACGCCTGTAATCCCAGTACTTGGGAGGCTGAGGCAGGAGGATTGCTGTGAGTTGGAGACCAGCCTGAGCTACATAGTGAGTTCCAGGTCACTCTCTAGTACGTAGTGAGACCCTGTCTCAAAAAAACCACACAGACAAGAGCCCAGAAGACCATGTATAGCAATCTGGGTTCCTCAGAAGATGCCAGAATGCACAGATCATACCGCACCACATGGAACAAGAAATGCGAGCAAAGATCTGCATGACTCCCAACTGGACCCAAGACACACAGGAAACCACACCCTACTGTACCCTGACCTAAACATGTCCCCTTCTGTGCACATCTTACACCAAGCAGAGAAGAAAGAGACCTTCTGAACCCTGCAGAGGCACTGCTATATGCCCCTCGCTTCTAAGATGAAAATCTCCACGGCTCCTGGGTGGGAGGTGGAGAGGACAAGTCGGGGCAGCCTCTGTGCTCCAGACTGCTTACTGTTGTTCTCAGCATCATTTTACAAGCACTCAGCTGTGGACGCTGTGGCTGTGAGAGGCCTCGCCTGTGAATCCCACAGTTGGCCACCAGGGAATCAGGGAACTGGAATTTTCGGGAGCATATGCCACATGGCCTTTGTCTGTGAGTCAATTAAAATGTCACAGAATCAGTTAGGGTCAGCTAACTTCACTAGTGGTGCATCAGAAGAACACCTTGAATCATACTCATTTTGCTACTCAAGGAGGGAGCAGATTTAGTGGCCACAACATCCAGTAGTTTCTAGCCAGTCCCAGGTCCTGAAAGCATCACCTCAGCTCATCACAGCATTTTCATGTTACTACAACAACGATGTGCTAGAAAGAGCCTTCTGCTTGCTTTTGGGGGAACAGTAATAAACAGAACATAAACAACAGCAGTCATGAGGGCAAAAAATCAGGAGTAGCTGTCCGATGCTCAATAAAAGATCACAGGATGTTTGAGGAGGACACTGAGACATCAGATGGCCTGTACACAGTCAGTCTGTTCAGCTGCTGTGGACACAGGGAACTAACTGTCAGCTCGCCAAAGGCTGCACAGCTAGCTGGAGGCAGAGGTGGGATGAGAAGCCAGACCTGCCGACCTCCTAGACAAGGGCCTTGCCACCTGTCCATGCCAGGTGCTCTCTGCTTCTTCTGAATGGGGGTGGGGACTATAAATGAACAGAAAAGTTTGAGTCCTTCGTCCATGCATTTAGGTCTCAGGCTCACCAAGCTGGAGAGCTGAAGCTCAGGATCACAAGGGTCAAGGACAGAAAAGAACCGTAGTTGGGTTTCCATTCCCTGGAGTCAAACCTGGCTGGGTCTAGCTCTCGACCCTGCTCACTGGCTGCGATTTTTACGAGTGGGGTGCTACTCCAAGCAGTGGCTGATTTCAGACTGCCTTGGAGAATGTGGCTCTGGTGGTCTCCTCCATTCCTGTATTTGAAGGAGGAAGCCTGAGCTCGCCATTCACATCAACATACGAGCAACTCCGGTGACCAGCGGGAGTTATGGGATTGCGTCGGCACCTGATTGCAGAAGGCCTGTCACCTGCCTTCTCTGGGTCCCAGGTGAAGACAGACAAGCAGCGAGTCAGTGTGACCAGCACACTGCTGAACATGCCTGTCAGTGGTACGCTGTAGAGAGAGGAGCCACTGAGAAACAGCATTCCTTCATGTCCAGGACAGGACCCCATCCAGACACATGCCTCAGCCAGCAGCAGAGCTGAAAGTCTGGCTTTGCTCCTTTAAACTTCTCTCTTCCAAACTAGAATCATGCATATGATTTGCTCAAGAAAAGAATCTAAAAGGCAAATTTCTTGAGACACCATAAAATTGTGTGGACTGAAGTAATGATTGGATTGATTAGCTAAGACCCAAGGTTGGGCAATAATGAGAGCCAGGCGAGCCGAGCAGTGAAATGCCCCAGTTGATTTTATGCATGAGGAATGATACACACACACCCCCTAAGCACGCTCTAATGGATCTGCATGCTGTGTGCATGCAGACTTTACAGCGGGTCCACTTATACCACCCAGATGCTGTAGCGCTCTATGCCCTGTGAGGCACAAGCCAACGCATTATTAGGGTGCGAAGGCTTGGGACATAGGCTAAAGGTGGTAGAGACCATAACGCCTGTGGTCAGCTGCTCTTCCTTTAGGGAGAGCAACAGAGGGTACGCATACATTCCAGCCTCACCACAAGGTGCACTTCAGTGCACGGAGTCTTTGGCACTCTGTGCATGTCCATCGATTAGGCTGGAATTCCAAAGCTCTGGTTTCAATTAAATTTAAGTGGATTTGACTAAAAGTTTGAAGTGATGCTAATTGGTTTTCAAAACATTGGGTAACAATAAGTGTTCCAGTCTTGCCTGTGGAAAGAAGCACCCAGCCCTGCTTATGCTCCTGGCAGGCAGGGCGGGCCGTGTGCATCCCTTACCTTCCCGGGCAGGGGTCCAAGCTGCATGGCTTGAGGCTCTGAGGGGGCCGGCGGCTGGTCACGCACAGGGCTGCGTCCGCACGCTCCCGAGTCTCTCTGTTCAGGCAGCTCACCACAGCCTCCTGGACACCTGGGCACAAATCACACTGTCAGGCCAGAGTGCAGAGTGGGCCTGTGTAGAGGCAGTGAGGTGCAGACAGGGAGCTGTGGAGGTCTCTGCAAGTGGCAGGACTTGATCACGTGAGAGGCGGCAGTTATAAGCCTGGGACTGCTGATCTCGTCCCGTATTACTCAATTTAGAAGTGGGGGTTGTGGCTCAGTGGTGGAGAACTTGCCTAGCATGCATGAGGCTCTGGGCTGGATCCCAGCACGCACGCACGCGCACACACACACACACACACACACACACACACACACACAATGTCCAAAAGCATCACGGATCTGGAAGAGTACTTGTAAGTGTGTGGCTTCTATAACCATGCCTTTCCAGAGAGACTCCCTCCGAAACAGGCCTCCACCGATACTGTTGAGATGCTTTTTAAAACACCACCAAACTAGCTGGGTGGGGTGGCACACACCCTGGGAGGCTAAAGCAGGAGGTTTGCTGCAAGTTTGAGGCCAGCCTGGGCTACACCATGAGTTCAAGGCCAGCCCTGAATATGGAGCAGACCCTACCCTCTGCCCCATTATGTAGCCACTGCGGCTTAAATGAAATAATTTGGAGTAGGAGGAACCCCAAGGGACACAACAAAAACAATTACAACAACAGCTCAAGACAAAAGTCAGAGCCCCATGGTGCTCTTTTATTATATCTCATCGCATTTTAATCAACAGGGTGTGTTGTATTAGGAAAACAGGCCCAAAGCCGTGTTTTAGTGTCGGCTGACGCCCCATAGACTGCTGTGCTAGCGAGCCTCAAAGCACTCAGTCCTCTAACAGAGGATGTTTCCCTCTGACTCTGGTTCACTTCCTTGGTGACTTAGGGAAGATTTGGAAGCTGGAACAAGGAAAATAAGATACATAATAACTATAATCATGAAGAACAATCTTCCAGTGAAACAGGTCTCTCAGCAGTTACTTCGCAGTGCAGGGCTGCCTGGCAGGTCTCTGAGGTGATCGCAGGATTGCTGTGCGGACCTCAAAGGGCAAGGAAACACGGAAGTGGGCCACGCACTGACCGGACCTGTCGCTGTGCTACCTGCTGTCCTATTCACATCAGCCAGCTTCTGCAGAGTGTCCACTACTGGCCAGGCACTGCGTCAAGAGCTAAACACACACCACTCAGTTTCTTCCACAACTCCACAGCCTCACTCTACAGAAAGGGAAACTGAGGCTTAGAAGTGAAAAGACTTCCCTAAGGCCATGCAGTCGGTAAATAGTGAAGCCGAGAGAAGCTGTTCCCTTAGCACTAACACATTACCATTTAAAAATACTAAGAGGCAGCCATATTTGCTTCCCCGGACAGCATCAGAAATAACCTAGACATTTGTCTGGAATCATTTCAAACAGAGTTCCGTTTAAGGGAAGAGGCATGACAAGACATTCTTGCTAATTTTCTTGCAGCCACACGCAGTTGTGTGCATGGATGCCTATATCTGAAGATACCGATCTATAGTTAGGTATCTGTATACAGTTCTCACAGAGGCTCTGACTCCCGTGCAGACATTCTCTTATTTCATGTCCTGCATCGCTTCATCGCGTAGCTAACATAATTCCCCCACCCTGCTCGCCTGTTGCTCCTCTGACACTCTCTTCCACGCCTCCAGAAAGGACTCCTCCCTACGTGGATGTTACACTGGCCTAGGTTCTTCATCAGCAAGACTAAGATTTAAAAAGTGACTTTCCAAAGCTAGAAAATCCACATCAATATAGTTTTTCCACCTAGGTTTGATAAATCAATGTTTGTTCTTAATAAATCACAGCATTTATCTGGTGGCCATGATGATAACCTTTAGATTTTCTTTTCCCTAGTTTTGTTTTATACTGAAAGTTTGAATTTATATTTGTGGTGGCCTGTTAGGGAGATGCGGCAGTTAGGGTGGGGTTCGACTTGGTTTGGGGATCTGCCCGGCACGCGGAGAGCACATATCTAGTGGTCTGGGTGGCCATGGAGGAGCAGCTCTGTGACCCTTCCGCCCTGGGACTCTGTCCCACTCTGCTTCCCGAGCACTGTGAGCTGAGCAGCTGTGCTGTCTCGGCCCCAGAACCAACTGGTCATGCACTGAAACCATGAACATAGAGAGCCTTCTGCCCTTTAAACTGTGGATGCTGGGTATTGTGTCCGAGTGATGAGAAGGTTGACAAATACAGAAAATTTGTATCAGGAAAATAGGGCCATTGCTGTGACTGTACCCGGCAGTGTGGTTCAGAAGCTCTTGGAAATGGTTTAGGGGAAGAACATAGAAAAATTTGGAGATGCAGGCAAGAGAAGTCCTGGGATGCTATGTCCAGTACTGGCTGGATGATTCTAATCAGAACTCGGAAGATCAGGGTGTGGCAGGAATGCACACAGTGAAAGCGAGGTTCATTTCAGTTGGGAACAAGGACAACACTGGTAGTTGGACTAGAGGGCAAGTATGTTACACTGGGGAAAGAATTAGCTAGATTTCGAGACTGTCCACCAGACTGAGATTAAGGATGGCAAATTTATTAATCTGGTGGAGAAAATCTCAAGAGCGCCTAACATTCAGACTGTGGCATGAGGACGCTGGCCGGTTTCAGCCAGATACAGAGTGACATGGGGAACAGAACAGAACAAAACATTATCAAAAACTTCAATTTTGCCCCAAAGGAACCACATGTAAAGTTGAAGCCAAAGGAAGTGTGGTTGCTAAAGGTATCAGCACCACGAAAGAGAAACCCGTTACCTCTGCACAGGCACAAGAAGAAAGGCTCCTTGAGAGCGTGCGGGAATCAGCAAGACCCCAACCCTGCACGATCACGGGTGCAACAGTGCCAACCTTTCTCTTGAGCAGCCAGTCCCTGAGAACTCTGCTTCACAAGGGCTTCCTAGGGAATTGGATTCTCCGGAATCACTTCACCGTGCAGCTATCCAAGCACTCAGAGTCTGGACAAGCCGTGGTCCAAGGGGCCTGGCTCCTGCTTCTGCTCACACTGGTCCTTGGCATCATCCACATGATGCATGTTTTGCTGGCACGCAGAATGCAAGAGTTATGGGAACAGGGAATCTTCCTCCCAGATTCAGAGGAAAGGCTAAGAGGCCAGGTGAGGGGCCCCTGAGAGGGCAGTGCAAAAAAGCTGTGGGAATGAAGCCAAAGGTACAGTGGAGACCTCAGAAAGTCAGAGATGCCAGAAACACGGAGTGTCTGCTGCAGAGAGCTGCAGGCCACGAGTGGAGCCAGCCCAAAAGAGAGGCTGCGTGCTTGGGGTAGGCAGGGCCACAGGGATGGTGCTGCCCACGTCCTTTAGAACTCACACTTCACCCATGTGTCCAGGACACCAGATGTGGGGCAACAGGGCTGATGTTTGTCTAGCTGGATTTCGGTCTTGCTCTGGCCCAACTATTTTCTGTCTCTCCTTTTCTCCCTTTTGGAGTGGGAATGTCCGCCCTGTGCCACTGTGCCTTGGGATTACATAACTTGATTTTGATTTTTACCAAGCTTCATAGCTAAGTGTTTGCCTGAGTCCTACAAGAAACTTGAACTCTCCAAAAATGCTGCAACTTTTAAGACTTTATTGGAATGGAGCATTGTCTTTCTAATTGTAAGCAGAATAATCATAATATGGTAGATAAAATTATGAAGTTGCTATTGTCTCTCATTTAATGTCATTTGGATATTAACTGTCATTTTAGGAGATGTGTTTGCATAGCAAGTTGAAAAGGTGCGAGAAAGCTGGGCCTGACAACCCATGGCTTTATCTCTGCACTCCTGAGACTGAGGCAGAAGGATCACAAGTCTGAGTTCAAGGCCACCCTGGGTTACACAGTGAGTTGAGGGCCTCCTTGATCTACATAGTGAAACCCTGTCTCAAAAACAAAAGCAAGCAAACAGGAAGAGGAGGAGGAGGAGGAAGAAGAAGAGGAAGAGAAGGAGCAGGAGAAG